ATGGTGGTGATCATGAACACTGTTGTGGGCTGACACTGGTCTGGTGACACTGGGACTGGTATGGCGGTCATCAGGAACACTGTTGGTGGCTTACACTGGACTGATCACACTGGGACTGGTATGGCGGTTATCAGGAACACTGTTGGTGGCTTACACTGGACTGATCACACTGGGACTGGTATGGCGGTTATCAGGAACACTGTTGGTGGCTTACACTGGACTGGTGACACTGACTGGGAAAACACTAATTCCTCTCAGAGCCAATCAGTGTTGTGACTCCAACATGCAGTGCTTGTTAACATTTGTGATGGCTGTGATTGGTCACAGTGAACACATGGCACCGGGCCAATTTCAACGGTCCTGTACCCCACTCTGCGATCTGCCGTGTCTGATGGACGAAGCGATCACAGAGCATCTCTGCTGCACCATTCTACAGCATCCCCCAAACCTTCAGGAGCCAGCCATCTTGTTTTTTATATATCGGCTCTATGACATGTCATTGAGCACCAAAACTAAAGAAAAAAATCAAAAAGTAAAAGTATTTAAAAACACACGACAAGCGGTGTCTGTTCTATACTAGATGCTGATCTCACTTATTGTCAGAGAAAACAAGAAACGCAGACAGGAAGTGATGTCATCAACGGATAGGAAGTGGTCATCTACAGACAGGAAGTTCCAGGTGAAAGGCATGCTTGAAGGAAGTAGAGGGAGATATTCCTTCAACTGGCAGCAGAGGAGGTAATAAGATTTTATTTTCTATTTACACGCAGTAACCCCCGTCATGTCCGTCTTCTTCCTCCATAGTCAAGTCTGTCTTCTTCCTCCATCATCACGTCTGTCTTCTTCCTCCATAGTCACATCCATACTCTTCCGACATAGTCATGTCCGTCCTCTTCCATAGTCACCGAGATGTCCGTTCTCTTCCTCCATCATCACATCTGTCCTCTTCCTCCATAGTCATGTCTGTCCTCTTCCTCCATAGTCATGTCCGTCCTCTTCCATAGTCACCGTGATGTCCGTCCACTTCCTCTATCGTCACTTCCATCCTCCTCCTGCATATTCACCGTGTTGTGACAAGGGATGTGTCTGGATGGTGACTGTATCATTGTGTGTGTCAGGTTCCTATAAGGTGTCAGGATGTCACTGTCTATTTCTCCATGGAGGAGTGGTAGTATTTAGAAGGACACAAGGACCTCTACAAGGACGTCATGATGGACAATCAGCCGCCCCTCACATCACCGGGTAAGAGGAGACTGTATTCGAAAGGAGAGAGCAGTACGGAGGGTCCACCTAGATCCCCCATCATCTGATAAACACATAGAAACAATGGATTCAGTCAGTGTGTGTGTTTCTTACAGATGGATCCAGTCATGGGAACCCACCAGAGAGATGTCCCCGTCCTCTGTATTCCCGGGATTCCACACAGGAAGGTCACACCATCCACCACCATCATCAGGTAGATGGATCCAGTCATGGGAACCCACCAGAGAGATGTCCCCATTCTCTGTATTCCCGGGATTCCACACAGGAAGGTTACACCATCCCTCACCATCATCAGGTAGATGGATCCAGTCATGGGAACCCACCAGAGAGATGTCCCCGTCCTCTGTATTCCCGGGATTCCCCCAGGAAGATCACATCATCCCTCACCATCATCAGGTAGGTGGATCCAGTCATGGGAACCCACCAGAGAGATGTCCCCGTCCTCTGTATTCCCGGGATTCCACACAGGAAGGTCACACCATCCCCCACCATCATCAGGTAGATGGATCCAGTAATGGGAACCCACCAGAGAGATGTCCCCGTCCTCTGTATTCCTGGGATTCCGCACAGGAAGGTCACACCATCCCTCACCGTCAGGTAGATGGATCCAGTAATGGGAACCCGCCAGAGAGATGTCCCAGTCCTCTGCATTCTTGGTATTCCACACAAGGAGATCAAACCATCCCTCACCATCATCAGGTAGAACTAGAAAATTGTTCTATGCTAAGAGGTGACATTTCTCTATGTACTCTCTTCCTTTTTATAAATGTATTCTATCATCTTTGGGGTTTAGGGCGAAAAAACTGAAAGACATCAAAGCTGAGATTAAAGAGGAGGAAGAAGAAGAGATGTTGGTAAGTGGAGCTCAGCAGTCTATGGAGGAGGGTGGTCCTCTGTATTCCTGGGATTCCACACAGGAAGGTCACAGCATACCTCACCATCATCAGGTAGATAGATCCAGTAATGGGAACCCAACAGAGAGATGTCCCCGTCCTCTGTATTCCGGGAATTCCATACAGGAAGATCACACCATCCCTCATTATCATCAGGTAGATGGATCCAGTAATGGGAACCCACCAGAGAGATGTCCCCGTCCTCTGTATTCCTGGGATTCCACACAAGGAGATCACACCATCCCTCACCATCATCAGGTAGATCTATAAAATTGTTCTATGCTAAGAGGTGACATATCTCTATGTACTGTCTTTCTTTTTATAAATGTGTTCTATCATCTTTGGGGTTTAGGGTGAAAAACTGAAAGACATCAAATCTGACGTTAAAGAGGAAGAAGAAGAGACGTTGGTAAGTGGAGCTCAGCAGTCTATGGAGGAGGGTGGTCCTCTGTATTCCTGGGATTCCACACAGGAAGGTCATACCATCCCTCACCATCATCAGGTAGGTGGGACTGAGGATGTAGATCCAAAATGTATTCTAAGCTATAAGAGGACATTCTTCTTTGTAACTTGTTCCTTTTCATACAAGTGTTCTATCATCTTTGGGGTTTAGGAAGAAGAACTGAAAGACATCAAAGTTGAGGATAAAGAGGAAGAAGAAGAGAGGTTGGTGAGTGGAGATCAGCAGTCTATGGAGGAGGGGGAGATGATTATGGAAAGTAAACCGGAGGAATCTTCTCTACATATAGACATGTGTAAGTCATAAACACAAAATATAGAAATAGTTCCCATTTGAATTTAATTTCTATGAGTATAAAGTGTGTATTTACAGTGTTGAGAAAAGGTCTATGTCTACTGAATTCATCCCGGAGAAAAATATAAATTTCAAAGCAGCAGTTGACCCGCAGCACAGTTGAATACCCATATACAGCTCGGCCTAATCTTCTTTAGGTTATAAGTCTTTCCTGATCCCAAAAGGCAATCAGATAAATCCCCTGGATTGGTCAGACTCCCATGAATATGCAGATCAGCTCCTCCTTGCCTCCACCCACTGGCTTCTGGAAGCTTTTCCAAGCTTCTAGAACAGGGGGAGGTACCAGAGGACTGACCCGTATAGCCCTCGATCCTGGCCTGAAGTAAATTCTCTAACTCGCACTCAGGGGATCTAGCAAGCCTACACTCACAAACTATATACACGAGAGGGCGCTCCATCACATACACTGAATATTATGTGTCACCCTTTGATTATATTTAGGGGCCGCACTTAAAGCCTCCTTTACCTGGCAAACTGACCACCACTGCTGTACACCATATGAAAGGTCATTGTCTCTCAATGGACCTTCAATCCCTCCATTCCTCAATATAATGTCATGTTCCCGACAAATGAGGAGGAGATACTGGACACCATATGAAAGGTCCATCTCCATTCCTCAATATAACGGCATGTTCCCCACAAATGAGGAGGAGATACTGGACACCATATGGAAGGTCCATCTCCATTCCTCAATATAACGTCATGTTCCCAACAAATGAGGAGATACTACTGGACACCATATGAAAGGTCCATCTCCATTCCTCAATATAACGTCATGTTCCCAACAAATGAGGAGATACTGGACCATATGGAAGGTCCATCTCCATACATATATGACTCCTGAATGGAAAGTTTTGAAAATTCTCATAGTATTGATTGTAAAATTGTTTTTCAGCAGATGGCCATAACGTCCGGAATAAGTCTGAGGAATCTTTTGAGAAATCACATTCCAGGACTCTGAGATCTCACAGTACATATCCTCTACCAGATCTATCTACTCCCAAGGAATCTTCTTCAGGGCACGAAGGAGTTCACACAGAAGAGAGTTCTTTGTCATGTTCAGTGTGTGGGAAGGTTTTCACAAACAAGAGAGAACTTCTTGAACACAGGAAATGCCACATTGCTGAGCGTCCTTATTCATGTTCAGAGTGCGGGAAATGTTTCCCTGTGAAAGGAAACCTTCTTAGACACGAAAAAAGTCACAGGGGCGAGCGTCCCTTTTCATGTTCAGAGTGCGGGAAATGTTTCGCTAGCAAACGAAGCCTTCTTGCACACCAGAACAGTCACACGGGTGAGCATCCCTTTTTCTGTTCAGAGTGCGGGAAATGTTTCTTTAGCAAACAAAGCCTGCATGCACACACCAGAACAGTCACACGGCCGAGCGTCCCTTTTCATGTTCAGTGTGTGGGAAATGTTACACTGAGGAAAAAAAACTTCTTATACATCAAAGAAGTCACACGGGTGAGCTGCCTTATTCATGTTCAGAGTGCGGAAATGTTTGTCTGAGAAAAGAAATCTTATTAGACACCAGAAGATTCACACGGGGGAGCGTCCCTATTCATGTTCAGAGTGCAGGAAATGTTTCTCTGAGAAAAGAAATCTTATTAGACACCAGAAGCTTCACACGGGGGAGCGTCCTTATTCATGTTCAGAATGCGGGAAAGGTTTCATCGAGAAAGCAAAACTTCTTGTACACCAGAGATCTCACACGGGTGAGCGGCCTTATTCGTTTCGGAGTGCGGGAAATGTTTCAAATGGAAATATTCATTTGTTACACACCAGAAGATTCACACAGGTGATCGCCCTTTTCCGTGTCCAGGGTGCAGTAAATGTTTTAGCACAAAAGACCAGCTTGTGTTACACCAACAAATTCACGCAGGGTGAGCGCCCCTATTCATGTTCAGAGTGCGGGAAATCTTTCTTTCACAATAGAGAGCTTAATTTACACCAGAAAACTCACACAGGTGAGCGTCCCCATTCATGTGCTGAGTGTGGAAAATCTTTCACCCGGAAAAAAAAGTCTTGTGCAGCACCAGAGACTTCACACGGGTGAGCGTCCTTATTCATGTCCAGAGTGCGGGAAATCGTTCTCTCAGAAAGGAAGCCTTGGGCAGCACCAGAGGACTCACACGAGTGAGCGTCCTTACTCATGCTCAGAGTGCGGGAAATCTTTCTTTCACAGCAGAGAGCTTAATATACATCAGAGGATTCACACGGGTGAGCGCCCCTATGCGTGTTCAGAGTGCGGGAAATCCTTCACGTACAAGAAAAGTCTCGCGCAACACCAGAGAATTCACAGGGGTGAGCTTCCTTATTCGTGTCCTGAGTGCGGAGAATCATTCACTCAGTACGGAGAGCTTAATACACACCTGAGAATTCACACGGGGTGAGCGTCCTTATTCGTGTTCAGAGTGCGGGAAATCTTTCACTCTGAAAGGAGCTCTTGTGCAACACCAGAGGATTCACACGGGTGAGCGTCCTTATTTTTGTTCAGAGTGCGGGAAATCTTTCAATCACAAAGGAACTTTTGTGCAACACCAGAGGATTCACACGGGTGAACGACCTTATTTATGTTCAGAGTGCGGGAAATCCTTCGCTAAAAAGAAAAACCTTGTTGCACACCAGAGAATTCACACCAGCTAGCGACTTTCTTCATGTCATTAGTGGTGTGTTGGGGGTGGGGAAGGATATATTGAATGTTTTTCAGGTTCAGTTTGATCAGGAGGGCTCGACGGCGGGTGACGGAGTTGTAGGGGTGTTTGGGGTGGGAGCGTGTGGGCGGGTGGCTCGCAAGTCTATCTAGGGGGGGCAGGGGTGTGGGACTGGGGATGGGTTGTGGGTTACCGCTTTGGGCTAAGATCTGAGTCTGCAGGGTTTGATTTATAGTCATTGGATCCTCTAATCCAGGGGTCTCCACACTTTGTAAATCAAGGGCCAATTTATTTCAAACTTTAGGGGGGGTCAGACAGTGGCCTGTGGGAGAAGAAAATGTCCCGGTGTCAGTGGGAGTAAACAACACCCAATCATTGGTGTCAGTGGGAGGAATAGTACCCCATCATTGGTATCAGTGGGGGGAATAGTGCCCCATCATTGGTGTCAGTGGGAGGAATAGTACCCCATCATTGGTGTCAGTGGGTGGAATAGTGCCCCATCATTGGTGTCAGTGGGAGGAATAGTGCCCCATCATTGGTGTCAGTGTCTCTCTGGGGGGATGATGACTGATGGCTGTGATTGGGGTCAATGCATTTCTGGAGGGATGAAAAATTAACTGTTACGTACAGTATGTAAAGCGCTGCATACATCGTAGGTGCTATATACTGTATATGGCTGCAGCAAACAAATTAATATATTAATGATATGCTTTTTGTGGAACCACGCCCATATTAAATGAATACCCCGCCCCTAATTAAATTCATGCTCCAGTGGCTTTCTGGAAACAGAAAAAAAAGTGTCCCTAAAAACTCTTTTTGAAATGTTGGAAACTATGAAAAGGGTTTCACTGCGGGACCGTAATAATGGGCCCTGCAATGGGAGTAAAGGGCCCCAGGATCAGATAGAAGAGCTCCAGGACTGATAAAAAGGCCCCCACTCTGAATGGAGGGGTCGAGGGGGACCCTGTTCTTGCATCGGGGCCCTGTTTTTGCACCGGGGCCCTGAAGGGTCTAATTACTACTGTAATACTTTGACTGACAATTACTTTGTCATGCCCAAATTAATGTTATATCATTTTTAGAGACATGTAAAGCTTTAGTTTGGTTTTGTTTCTTCATCACTTGTATTACATAAAAAAAAAAGACCGAAAGTTTTGAAAAAAAATAAAAAGTAATAAAACTTTGCAAATAAACTTCAGAAATGTAAATAAATTTAATAATAATGTATTTTTCTACATTTCTTTGGAAAAATAAAAAAACCAAATCGGTGTATATTATTTAGTCTGTGTGGATGTTGTAAAGCCTACAAACTATGGGATATATATATATATATATATATATATATATATATCTGAAAATAAATCCGTTCTGAAGTCCTGTCTCAATTCATGAGGCCCTAAAATGCCAGTACAGTCAAACACCCCCAAAATGATACCTTTATGGAAAATAGTCTGAGGTAGAAGCATGATGAGTTGTTTGATGTTGCAAATTTGTGACACAATATTTTTGGAAAATAAGGAAATTTTAATAAAATCTGATTTTATTTCGCAAAGTTGTCATTTGAACAAGTTATTTCTCATTTCTTTTTGCTGCTTAGAAGCTTAGAGGGGTCCAAATCCAAGGAGCACCTTCAGGCTTTCTAGGGTCATAAACGCTGCTTCTGATTTCCTAACTATCCAATTTATTGAGGCCCTGAAGTGCCAAAACAGAAGAAACATCCACAAAATGCCAACATTTTGGAGAGTAACCATTCCAAGGTATTTTTTAAGAGACGTGATGAGTTTTTGAAAACTTCATTTTTCTGCTACACGTTTTTGGAAAATACAGAAAGAAAATTACAGTTTATTATTTTACTCCTCCTGAGTATGGGAATACCACAGATGTGAGACTTTCACTGCTTAGAAGCTTAGAGGGGTCCAAATCCAAGGAGCACCTTTAGGCTTGCTAGGTTTATCAATGTTGCTTCTGATTTCCTGTCTAACTATCCAATGTCTTGAGGCTCTGAAGTGCCAGAAAAGAAGAAACACCCACAAAATGCCTACATTTTGAAGAGTAACCACCCCAAGGTATTTTTTAAGGGACGTGATGAGTTTTTGAAAACTTCATTTTTCTGCTACACGTTTTTGGAAAATACAGAAAGAAAATTAAATTTTTTTACACAAAGTTATCAATTAATAAAATATCCTAACAGACAACGTGGGCATACTTAGAAGTTCACCCCAAAATGCATTCTACTACTCCTCCCTAGTAAGATGATACCACATACAGTATATGAGACTTTTTCAAAGCCTATCCACATAGAGAGGCCCAAAATTCAAGGAGCACTTTCAGGTTTTAAAGGAGCATAAAGTACACCTTTAATTTCCTGACTATCACATTTTTGAGGCTTTAGAGTACCAGCAACAGGTGACCCCGCTCCTTTGTTTATTTACGGCCGCTGGGAACCAGAGCTGTGTCAATTTCCGGGAGGCAATAGTGGTGCGCACCTCTTTAGTTTTTTCAGGTCGGCGGTCAGCCTTCATAGCGATTGATGATGGATTTACTTTGGTGGACTTTTTACTTTTTTCTTAGTTTTTTTTTTTTTCTTTTAATAAAGGACTTGTCAAAAACTGTGTTTTTTTATTTTTGACACTTTTTTGCTGAATGAATAGGGGTACTATGTACCCCATACTCATTCACATAGCAGGGCCGGTATCTGTGGGTCCCCTTGTTGAGTTCCAGATAAGCCCCCTGGCTAGGCCAGGGTTATGGAGAAGAGGCCCTTGTCATCAATATGGGGACAAGGTGTTTTGGGGAGGAGCCCTCCTGCCCCTAAGCACCCCTCATTTTGAGGGCATGTGGCCTGTAAGGTTCAGGGAGGGGGGCGATCCCTTGACCCCCCTTTCCTGGCATGTTGGGCTGCATGCTCAGATAAGGGTCTGGTATGGATTCTTTTTTAATTTTGGTGTGGGCTTACCCTAAGCTCCATACCAGACCTAAAGTTCTGGAATGCATTTTAGGGGGGTGGGCCTCACACCCCCTTTTTAAAAAAGTTTGATGTGGGGTTCCCCTCAAAATCCATATCAGACCAAAAGGTCCTGCTATGGATTGGGAAGGGACCCCCACACTTTTTTTTTTCTTTAAAGCCAACACTTCTTCGCTTCCATTCTCTTGTCAGCTAGTAGTCGGGAACACTGTTACTGGCTTGCATTGATCTGGAGAAACTGGGACTGGTTCGGCTAGTGATCGGGAACACTTACTGGCTTACATTGGTCTGGAGATACTGGGACTGGTTTGGCTAGTGATCGGGAACTCTGTTACTGGTTTACATTGGTCTGGAAATACTGGAACTGGTTCAACTAGTGATCAGGAACACTGTTACTGGCTTACATTGGTCTGGAGATACTGGGACTGGTTCGGCTAGTGATCGGGACTCTGTTACTGGCTTACATTGGTCTGGAGATACTGGGACTGATTCGTATAGTGATCGGGAACTCTGTTACTGGCTTACATTGGTCTGGAGAAATTGGGACTGGTTCGGCTAGTGATCGGGAACATTTTAACTGGCTTACATTGGTCTGGAGAAACTGGGACTGGTTCGGCTAGTGATCGGGAACACTGTTACTGGCTTACATTGGTCTGGTGAAACTGGGACTGGTTCGGCTAGTGATCGGGAACACTGTTACTGGCTTACATTGGTCTGGTGAAACTGGGACTGGTTCGGCTAGTGATCGGGAACACTGTTACTGGCTTACATTGGTCTGGTGAAACTGGGACTGGTTCGGCTAGTGATCGGTAACATTTTAACTGGCTTACATTGGTCTGGAGAAACTGGGACTGGTTCGGCTAATGATCGGGAACACTGGTACTGGCTTACATTGGCCTCGGCTAGTGAGAAACTGGAACTGGTTCGGCTAGTGATCTGAACATTGTTACTGGCTTACATTGGTCTGGAGAAACTGGGACTGGTTCGGCTAGTGATCGGGAACATCTTACTGGCTTACATTGGTCTGGAGAAACTGGGACTGGTTCGGCTAGTGATCGGGAACATTTTAACTGGCTTACATTGGTCTGGAGAAACTGGGACTGGTTTGGCTAGTGAACGGGAACACTGGTACTGGCTTACATTGGCCTGGAGAAACTGGAACTGGTTCGGCTAGTGATCGGGAACACTTACTGGCTTACATTGGTCTGGAGATACTGGGACTGGTTTGGCTAGTGATCGGGAACTCTGTTACTGGTTTACATTGGTCTGGAAATACTGGAACTGGTTCGACTAGTGATCAGGAACACTGTTACTGGCTTACATTGGTCTGGAGAATACTGGGACTGGTTCGGCTAGTGATCGGGAAACTCTGTTACTGGCTTACATTGGTCTGGAGAAACTGGGACTGATTCGGCTAGTGATCGGGAACTCTGTTACATTGGCTTACATTGGTCTGGAGAAACTGGGACTGGTTCGGCTAGTGATCGGGAGTATCTGTAACTGGCTTTACATTGGTCTGGAGAAACTGGGACTGGTTTGGCTAGTGATCGGGAACACTGTTACTGGCTTACATTGGTCTGGAGAAACTGGGACTGGTTTCGGCTAGTGATCGGGAACATTTTAACTGGATACTTACTTTGGTCTGAGAGAAACTGGGACTGGTTCGGCTAGTGATCGGGAACATT